TGATCTCAGGCATTCAGGTCGTTTCTATTGGCATTAAAAAAGTTGTTTGATAAAAATGGCTTAATCCATCGACCACACCAAAGCTTTCTGTAATCATTCACATTGTTGGAAAAAAGGGCTATGAAACACACGTGTAGCGCTAGTGAACAAAGATGTATTGGCCTAGACAAATTCTCCTTGCCTTTAGGTGGGTGCATTTAAACAAATGGAATGAGTGTACTGTGGCCGTAAATATCAGTAATAGGAGAATAGAATCTTTCAAACAAGATTTAACGAATGAATGCTTTGGGCTCACTAGACCATTTTGTGTTTTGTTGAACTTACAATGAACAAGCTGATGTCACGTTCTTGACTTCTGCTAATTGCCCTACATTACGCTGATTGTGTTAGCTCACATTTATTTCTGGAGAAAACATGGACTGGATGACCATGAGGGCATAGTTGGCAAGAAGCTTTCTCCTGACTCTTCCATTGTGATGAATTAAAGCTGGGGCACCTAACTTTCAAACCAAAACAATGGAACTTAATGAAAATGTAAAAAATAAAATATGCTTCTCTCTCAAAACTGTTTGCTTCTGACACTATAGTTTTGAGAGTGTTAGAACCTCCATCTCATCTCTGCATCAGCTTTTTCAGACATAAAAAGGGAAAACGGAGGACCACCCTCCCTCTGCCAATCAACTTACAGCCCAAAGCGTCAAATAGTGACTCACAGGTCTCTTTTGAATTTTTGTACAAATAAGATGCCATGTGTATGCTTGAAAATACTGTTTTTTTTTCAATACATTGTTTTTAGACGTTTTATAATTTTGACTTCACAAACAATTCATCTTCAATAAATGAAATAGTGTTTTGTTCAAATATGGTGAAGCGGATAGGGGCCAAAAGCCTTATGCTTGTATTGAACTGAATAGTTTAGTTTGGAAAAATATTGTATTGAATTTAAAGTCCCTTATATCTAGATGCCTGTTGTATCGTGCCATGCCTATTGAGATATATGTTATATCGGCTGAATATAACAGAGCTCAGCCAAATCTGTCCACAACATGTTACTTACAAGATTCAGTTACTACAAACAAAAAAGTTGGAAACACCAGCTTTAACAATGACCCCAGTTGGGTCACTGCAGACTTGCCCCTTCAGAGTCACACACTTATGATGATGCCCAGGGCAGCAGCTCTGGTCCTGGCCCAGACACAGACAGGGCAGGACTCCTTCCTTTGGCGTTGGCCCAACTTACAGGGACAACACTGCACAAGTTTATTTTACTCATTAAAGTGCTCAGACTGTGGCTGGACTATTCAAAGGTGAGAGCTAACAGACCTGACATCCTGTGTCACTGCAGCAGAGAAGACTGGATACACTGCCCTGCCATTAGAAGGCAGAGCTATTCAGAATTCTATGCCTTGTTACAATTTATTTCTAACAGATGTACATGAGTAAAATTGTAGAGGCAAGTCATAAATATAATACAAATGAATGAAAGGGATGAATGAAGACTGAAGTAATCATCAATCTATTTTTGATATAAAGTTGCATTTTTAATGTTGTTACCCTTCACTGTGACGCACATCTGTTGCCATGCCTTGTGCACATATGATACTACAGCACGTGCTCAACTCCGGACTATTTATTAACGGCCCATGAAGTCATTATGACTCAGGCCCAGATTCCACCGGCTGCGTAAAACGTACTACGTATCCATCCAAACGTGTCCGTTTCATCTCTCCATGAGGGTGAATGGAAGGGTGAACAAGCGTAGGGAGCAGTCCGTCCACGCAGGGTGCAACAGACGCGGACGGACGAAATAGAAACAATCCTATTTTTTAGGTACGTCGACGCATGTCTGGTCCGTTTTCCATTGGAAATACAAAGGAAAAATATGGTTACCACATTATTAAACATGTATTGATACATGCTGTAGTCCTTGGTTATAAGTGTTTTTTAATGACAATGATTATTAACAAATGTGTGTAATTTATTTTCATGTATTAGATTGAAATAATTGTTTCCTGATCGTAAATCTGCCATTTATTTTTTGCGTAATGTTAATATTGACTTGCTTTCAAAAAAGCCTGGATTAGTTGGAGTTCTTAATTTTCTCTTTTCTCTCTCCCCTTATTCCAATAAGTTTTGCCTCATCCATCGCAACGTCCTCGATGCTTCAATATGCCGTGCTTTGCATTGATCATAGCCACAGCTCATGCAATTACATCAATTTCAAACAAAGCCTCACAGGGTGCTGATAAAAGCACAGCCAGAGCTGCGCGCTGCTGAAGCCGGTGTTCAGCAGCCACTATTCCGTTTTACGGACGTCTGACGGGCAGCAGCCTACGCGCGTAAACGGAGACGCGGCCGGTGGAGTCCAGCACTTACTTGCAGCATTGATGGTGGATGTTATACTATAGCTACTTTAACATGTTTTACCTCATATCAAAGCAACATTTATAGATGGAATCTAACTTTAGAATTAATTACAACACATCAAGATCTAATTCCATTATATGTGTGTAATAACCAATCATTTGTCTATTACAAGCCTTGGTCCCGTTTTAGTTGAATCGAAACACTAACAAAAATAATTTTGTTCTGAAAAAATCTACTATACAATAATGACGTTGAATAAAATCAATCCTATTTCAAAATAGATTAATATTGTTTAGTTCCTGAACAGCTTTTACTTTATAAAATGGGTTTCAGACTCCAGTACTACCATAAGGATAAAGAACGTTTTACCTTTTTCATCAATACAAACAATCCAGTGGGTAGTGGCAACTGTCCTTCCAATTGCAACCACCCGCCCTGCCAAATATTCTGACTGAACCATATAAGTAGGTATGCCTTCTGAGAATGATACAAGGCAAAAAACCAGGACCACTTCAAAACTCACTGAACAAGCTGATTGAATTTGATCATTAAGCAGAACAATGGATAATGGGTGTGGGGATCAGAAGATGAGTGGGGTGGCCCGGTAATGATCCTTCTGTTTACATGCGTCTGTGTCTGTGTGTGTGCGTGAGTGTGTGTATGCAAGTGTGTGTGTGCGTGTGGTAGCTAAAGGCCAAAACACATCTGGGTGGGAATTAGGGCGGACGAGGTGATAAATCAAGATGTTCTGTGCTGTGAGAGGAGCGGCAGTCACTGAGCATGAAGGGCACATACAGAAGAGCGCGTGGCTCATCTCCATTTAGATTCAAATGTCACTGTGACTTTAGAGTAAATAATGTGTGCTGATAGGGTTATAGAGGTCTGTAAGCATTGGTCAGTGGCAAATGTATCAATAATGTTTACAGTTTAATTTCAATTTGAGCGTTTTGCATATATGAAAGAGTTGTGCTTGGTAAATTGCATGTTATTGTATCATTATGGTGCTGATTGAAAAGAAAAAGAACAAATTTGACCCAAACTACAACAGTAAACCTCCAAACAGTGTGGAATTTCTGGAAGTCGTAATCTTAATTTATCTAATCTTAAATTATCTAATCTTAAATTAGTACATCCATCCATTCATTTTCATTTCTGGGTTGAGGGGGTGGCCAGAAATGCCACCCAGTAAACCTAGCTCCAGCCTATCAGCACCGAGGTCCACCAATAAAAAAAACTTATTATGAAGAAAATATGATATTCTTCTCTTTCATTAGTATGCATGTTAATTACAACATTAACATGTATATTAATGATGTGACTTGTAAAAAAAAAAATGGTATTCACATAATGATTTTAACCAAATATTTGTAGGTTTGATATGATTCTAAATTGCTTGTGGTCCTGACATATTTTGGGGGGGGGGTCAGAAGTTCCTGTGTGGTCGGACCCACTTTGGGAAGCAAATCTTTAAGAAAGGCAAAAACACAGAAATGCCTTGCCTTTTACTTAAGTCTAATACATGAATCTTCAGTGATACTGTACTATTCACTGAAGATTTGTATTAGTAATTCATTTAAATAATGAACGTTGAAGAAGAAAGTTTAAACTCCAAAGAATATACAAACTAAAAGGCATTTTTGTGCCAGTATCACTGTTGTTCTAGCTCTGTCTGCTGCCTGTTCGCTTAGAGGCAGGGCAGCAGTTCAAAGAGACGAGCATGAATAATGAATGAAGAGCCGGGTAGGAAGCTTTAAGGCGCTAAAGTGGAACATGGCGAGTACTTCCAGAGGCATCACACAGGGGAAAGGCCTGGCTCAGCACAAACGTTCCATGTATAGTTAGCTTCACTCCTCTGTACCGTACAAGCGTTAAATTTAACCTGGATAATGGCATCACGCGTGTCCCTCCTACAGACGCATGTTAGTGTAATGTGGTCAGATTAAGGGTTCATTTGAGAGCCCTCTTGTTGACGGTACTTAGGGTAATATGATGCAGCGGCTGAATCAGCACATCAGGTTAAATGGACTAAGAATGAGGATGGGATTTGCATTTGAAAGTGGTTACATAGGTCAGGTATGAGGTGAAAAATGTTATGTTCTTAAGTGCCTCAAAAGCCACATTTAGCCTTAGCTCGGTTTCAAAAAATGATTGTGAAAGTTTCACAAGAATGTAAACAAAACACAAAAGGAGGAAATTATATATTCTTTTAAAATCAAAACTATAAATATTCATCTACAATCTTCATTTCTAAATTCTCCTTGATGTTGATGCATAACTTTAAACTTGACTTTAAACATCTCAAAGATGAAAAGACAATTTATCTTTCTGGTAGAACACACCACAAAAATGATACTTTTCATGATGTCATTATATGTGCGCAATAGGTCGGATTCAGGCACTCGTCTCACGGAATGCATTATTTGCCATATGTATTCACACGTGTTTAGTTTAGCTTAAAATCATGAAAAATGAAAGATTGGCACATGCACACTGGGAACCGCAAACAGCACGCAGCGAGCCCACGGGTGCGCACGCACACACACACACACGTTGGGACAGAGCGGGGAGCTGAAAAAACAGCACGGGGTCGTTACTTGTTGATGCAATATTTTCGAACTAGTTTGTTTCCTCACCTCTCGAAGCATGGGGTCAGTGATGGAGCTCAGGTTGACCGCTCCTTCATATGTCAGGTAGTAGAACACATTAAGAGCTCTGGCAGCTTCAGGCCCCTGCTGCTTGTAGCCGAAAATAAGATCTATCCATTGGTGAAGCTGGCACGACACAAACTCGCTCTCCAAGGCCTGAAAAACATGGGGAAAAAAAAAAAAATCACATTTCAATGTCATACCTATTGCAACATTCAGAGATTTGGAACCGCTTTGGTCACCTTAGCCTTGGGTTTTCTGTTGTACAACATGAAAAATAAGCATGAAAATGTTTATAGTCCAAATGCATGGACCACATCTGCTGAAGTTTGTATAAAGGAAAAACAGTGGTAGCTTTTAAGAAAATTGCCTTTTGGCTCCGACAAGTACAGTTGAAAATCTTTAGAAGCCTATAGCAAGCATATCGCTATGTAAACAACAAAACAAAAAAACATCTAGTTGTAGTGTTAATTTAGAACTCTTGAGTCAACATATCTCAGCCATTTACAACAAAACAACCCAAGATCCCAATAAGTGTCAATGAACAGCAATTTTCTATGTCTTTAAACATGGGGATAATAGTGAGCACTGAATTGCAAGGATAATCCTACATGGCAATGATTTATGTAATAAGTGAAAATAAAAGTATCAGTAACTTCTCATCGAAACATTACATAGGTCAAATCGTCCTTAAGGGAGCCATTTCTGCTACTCTTTGTTCTCGAAGGTGGGCAGAAAAAGGTCATAAGTGCTGCTCTTTTGCCATTACCATAAAGAAGAGACACGGGCCGCTTTCCCTCCTCATTAGCCAGTAAAGGAGGGAAAAACATTTATGGTTTCCTCGTAAAAAACAGGCGATTGTGTTAATTTGTGTAAAGCTGTCTCGTCACAAAAGCCTTCTAAACACGGCCAAATTAGAATGAGCCAGCCCCTGATTGTCATTGCTGCCTTGTGTCACATTAATTTGCGACAAAACATTAGCCCGCGCTACACTTAAACTGCAATTTATATCATTTAGATTTTTACGGCGTAGAGTGGAGCATCCTTCAACTAAATGTGACTTTCTGACAGCTCGTTCGCCGTCTAATTCTTCCCCACTCGTCTAATTACAACTTTCAATCAGGGGCTGAGGAGCAGGCGGTGTGCGGCTGTGCTGTGATCATGTTCCATAAACATTTAAGTATCCAGGATATTATGCTCAGGGCTTGATGCAGGACGTTTGACATTCCTGGTTCTCTTGGAATAGTCATATTCAAGGTGCGCTATTTGTCATTCTTTGGAAAAAGATTTGAAGACAACACTGATGATTTTGATGATGTTCCACCAAACTGAAAGTGGAAGTTTCACCGAACACTCCACTGAGAAGCGATCTTTTTTTGTTTACCTTCGACTGAAACATGCAAAGAGGTTTTATGACTCCAATTTTTTGATAATGACTGCAGAATGAAATTAAAATGTGTTTAAAGAGTATTTTAATCAAACCACCCACTGTGTAAGAAGTAATCTCTATGAAGAAGTTGGTCAAATGATTAACCTCTTCTAGATCTTAATAATGAATCAATACTCAAGATAATAATCAGCCAACAAATTGATTATCAAAAATAATCATTAATTACACCCTAGCCATAATCAACTTCCCAGTATACTTTGGACAAAATAAATATATCACATTTTCAGACTGAGATGAATGGAATTTCTTGAAAACCTCAATCTTCACTCATTTACAAATAAAACATTCAGGTAGCCAAAACGTTTTTAATTTATGAAACATGATTGTTGAAAAGAACGGTCATGATTCTATTTGATGACACTATTCAATTGATCAAACTCTTCTAGCCTGACTTAACTAAATAAAACACAATTTTAACAATAACACAATGTTTTGCAGCACAATTTGAACAGAAATCCCCCCTTTACTTAAAGAATGTGTGCTTTGGATTTCTTGTGTGCTCCTCGGGTCCTATGGGCGAATGCAGCAGTATTAATCACACTTATGAGAACAACCATTCCGTCTTAGTTCAACCATATGGGGCACACAAAACAACACAATGACGTTAAAACATCCTTAACACTTTATTATATTGATTCTGGTCCGAACGACATGATATTCCCCCACAACTGATTGTGCATCATTCTTCATGACACACCATATTCAGCTGTGTCACTGAGCAATCCTTTATTTTAATGTAGGGTTATAAGGCCGGGACCCCCACCCATTTCAATACAGTTCAGTGGTGTTTGTCTGTGTATGGGAGAGGGGTTTATTATGCATGAGACATGACCTTTACTCGCGGTGCCTAAAACTAAAGCCACATGTGATGGCCTTTTAATGTGAGATCTCTTGTCACCCAAAGAAACAAAGGACAGTCCTGCAAATATAAGATCAAAAACCTTGTGTGGAAAACAATGTGCCCATTTTGATCTGGGTAGGGGTTTAAGTAAGTATCAAAAGTATGTTTTATATAAATCTTAATTTCTTATCTTATTATAATCCATAATGATGATAATAATAATAATAATAATAATAATAATAATAAAGCACATTTCACAAATGCAGTGAAGAAAAAAATCTCAAAAAAATAGAATCTTGTTTAAAAGTTCATTTATTTCTGTAAATCCACTCAAAATGTGAAACCAATATATGGTAGATATAAACTAACAAGATAAAAAGTATTTGTTTTAATTTTTATGATTAAAATACATTTTCTAAATATTATATTTAGGGTTTTTACAAGTGAGCCAATTATCAAACATAATAAATTTAGGCTGTCCTGTATTACTTTTACATTGTATTACAGAAGAAAATGGACTCTTGAAAGATATTCTAATTTTCAGAGTTTCACCAGTAGACTGTACAGTTTGAGGAGACTGTAATCTCCAACATGCTCCATTGTTGTCATAATTTAAAACCTGATCTGCCAGCACAACAAAGCTGCTTCCCCTGCGCTTCTAAGGCCTCACATCCAAAACAAAGGGCATGTGGGATCCTTGTGACTTCTACCCCCCATCAGCATTTACATAAAGGCATGCTAAATTATTCATTAATTATCAGAGTGTCCCGGCGGATGGGACGACACACACGCTGGCTGATAATTGGCCCATCAATAATACGTTGTGCTCCCAGTGAAGATGCCTCCTCAGGAATCTGCATCCACCTTCTGCTCCTCTGCGGACACCAAGGACCCACACACATCTGCTGACCACACTGTGTAAATGATCCAGGGTAAAAGGCCGGCTCTTTATCAGGAGAAGGGTTGTTGGCAAGTAAATTGATTAATCACAACTAATTAGTTACTAATGATCAAAAGAATTGTTAACAGGTCCATAAACAACCTCAAAAACAAGCCACGTGTGGAGAAGACTTAAAAATATATTATTATGGCTCTCATTGTATAGATAGTACACACAGATGTTTTCGAATCTAACAAAAAACAACAAATAAAATGGGAATAAAAGAAAAAACCTTAAAATAAATAAATAACGTAAATTGTGAATATATGTTCTATACAAATTCTGGAATTTAATTGCTTTGATGTGGCTGATAGTGTTTAAGTGTTGGGTAACTTTGTGTTCGAACTGAGGGGTATTTTTTTGGCGTTAATTTATTTTTGAGGACATGATATTTTGCCGCAAAGATGAATGTTTGGATCACTAGGAAACGAAGGATCATTAGGGATAGATTGCTTGAGTTAAAGAGAAAGTTGATCTTCTGGAGGCTGGTCGTATGTTATTGTATTTTGGTGAATGAGTGCTTGTATAAGTGACCGCATATTTTGGCATTATGTAGAAGTTGTACAGTAGTTGCTTGATTAATAAGCGCACATGTATATAAACCGCACCAATTACATTTAAAAAGAAAGTACATTTTGTCCATATATCGGCCGCACTTGAACAACAACTGATAGAGAAAAAGGATTATACGATAGACAACTGTTTTAACGGGACACAACATTGAACAACCTTTAATGGCAATGGGGGTTTTATGATGGTTGTATATTGAAAAATACATTTAAATCTTCATATCTTTGAAACTAAGAAAAAGCATTATAACAGATTATTTTAACTAAGCTCACCGACTGGCCAAACTCTGGTATAAATAAACAGAATTAAAAAAATTCCAGACAAAGATTGAAATATGCTGACCAAAAGATTCTCTGTGGAGATTATTAAAGCTTATAATTCATTTTTCAAGTCGGCTAGTCATGATTAGTTGATGAACTGCAAGAGTGCCTTTCATGTAAAGTCAAAGGCCTGTGTAGAATACTCCCAGATCGCTCAAAAGTAACTACTACACCTTCTGGTTTTGCAGAACTCTAAACATTCAAGTTAGCGGTCAAGGCATTTGCCTCCTTAGCATTCCCTCGGAGAACATTTTCCCATGTCGCCCGGCGGTGCAGCGGGTGTGCGGGCATCTGTCTGCGGCCTGCGGCTCGACTTCAGCTGCCGAGATTGTGCTGGATCTAAACCGGAGCCTTAACGAGGTGACACTGAACGCTTTCCTCGTTCCCTCAAGAAAAACCTTTTAAGGACTTATGGCGAGCTGTCCGTTAGGATGTTAAAACGTCACTTAACAAATCAATCCACTCATTTGCGTGGTGTGTGAGAATGCGCGCAAGAGTGTGTGTGTGTGTGTGTTGCGGTGCCAGCGCGGTGCTGTGTAATGAAACGCACATGTGTAAAAGTGTTGTCAGCGCACAATTGTATTCTCGTGTATCGATTACGGATGAATAAAGCAAACAGTTGTCAGGTCTGTATACACTAAAGAGGCTGCTTCAGAGAGAGCCCTTCATAACATCCTGGGAGAACCGCACTCAGCCTGCAACGGTGAAAATATGACACGAGCGGACCACAGTTGAACATAATTAACTTTAGGGGATTAGATTGACACAATATGTGGATGTAAGATGTTATGATTACTGTGCATTTTTCAAGCTCAAATAGTCAATCCCATTAGCGTCCATCTGGAACCAGAGCTAAGCCTTGATGATCTACCTGCTGTAAAACTGGCAAGAGAAACCCAAAAAGTAACCGCGGAGCATAATACATCAATGTGTAGTATTTGAGATGTAATCAACTGATGGGGAGGGGGGAGTTAACTTGAGCCGATATGAGTGCGCATAAATTTGAATGCCAGACTCTTTCCAAGGATGAAAGGG